GATCAGGCTGTACTATAGAACAGTGAACGAGGACGTGAGTGGCATGAACGTGAGTTTTGAGTGGCATGCAGGATTCGATGCCTGGATAAGTTGGTGCAGGCAGAGGCAACGATGATACGATACATGAACGTCATTAAATCGATTTTAGGAATCGTTTCTTATTTTGATATTAAGATGGCTCAGAAACTTAGAAGTCTTAAGTACTTTCGATAAATTTTTACTTTCAAAAAGAAACCATTGGCCACACTAAAAGATATTTTTTTGGACGCTATATGTGTAAGACAGGTAAATTAAAAAATTAAATTAAAGACTGGTAATTGGCTGGTTTCTAAGTTGAATACTGAACGTATTTTATGACCAATAATTGATGTATGGAAAAGCCCATGGGACTTCAATAATTACAGTATATTAGCCCCAATTGATGACCTTTCACTAGTAATTTTCAACAATCCACAACTGCAAGAACCTAAACAAAGCGTGTCAACAGCGCGTTTCAACGCGCGTCAAGAACATGCTCCAACAAAGAATTGAATCCCGCAGTGACACACTACTTCCGTTGTCTGGGTCAGTCTTGCAGCCAACATCAGCTGAATTAATTCAGCGTCGACACGCAAATCCATGTATGGCTTTCCTATGTTGACGGCACAAGCAGGATATACCGGACTGCATACGGAAGTTATCCTACAGCGTACTCACAAAAATCAATGCATCACGCTGTCCAAATATTAACACATGCACTTTCCGCACGTAGTACTGATACGTCTTTGTGCCAGAGGCAAAATGGGTTAGAGTGACACACACAGGTCGCACTGATACATCTTTGTGCAAAATGGGTCTGATTGACACACACAGGACAAAAAAGTGAATCGCTAGTTGACAAAATCTTACTTATTTGTGTGGAGTGACGTGATGTGGAGTGATGTGTGTGTGGAGTGATGTGATGTGGAGTGATGTGTGTGTGGAGTGATGTGGAGTGATGTGAAGTGGAGTGATGTGTGTGTGGAGTGATGTGATGTGGAGTGATGTGATGTGGAGTGATGTGATGTGGAGTTATGTGATGTGGAGTGATGTGATGTGGAGTGATGTGATGTGGAGTGATGTGTGTGTGGAATGATGTGTGTGTGGAGTGATGTGTGTGTGCAGTGATGAGGTATAAAGTGGCCGGACAAAAGGAAGAAGATGAAGAAAGATGAAGAGGAAGTACTCGTAGATAGGATATGGGGAGGAAGAGGGAGTAAGGAGGATAAGGATATATTTTTATGAATTGAAATCGGCTTGCTAACGCTCTATCCGCAAAGAAATGTCGTTTCGAGCTCGCATGAATAAGTGAGAACGCTTCTCGGAATTGTGGGAAGCTCTGCTATACCTAAAACAGAACTGTCTAACTTGAAAATTACGGCAGGAATTACGATATGAATTGGAAATGCAGCCAATCAAAAGCCTATCTCTTTTCCAGCTATGGCAAGAATATAATTGATATAATAAGACGATCAATTTGTATTTGTTAGAACCAACTACTGACGAACACGGAGCGAATTCACCCTTCATATAATAACTGAAATTTTAATCCATTCCCGAGTTCACTGAAATATTCGAAGTACATTGCAAATAAAAACTAATGAATTAATGTATCATTTATAACTAGGAAGTATCATTATAACATAAGGTATTAGTAAATTATTATTCGTGTAAATTATTAGTATTAAATACATCATAAGATAATGTATTTAATACATCATTATAACATAGTGTATTAGGTATAATAATTCGAAGCAAACATAATGTATTATTAAATTATTATTAGTATAAATTATTAGCTTTAAATACATCATAACATAATGTATTTAATATATCATTATAACATAGTATATTAGGTAGTGTATTAGGTATAATAATGTATGTATTAGGTATGCATTAGGTATAATAATTCGAAGCAGACAATTAGATCGTCGCAAGTAAGGTGTCAGCTGTGGGCATGTTTTGTATTTGTATAAAATGTATTTTTAACTATAATGTATTAGGTATAATAATTAAGCAGACAATTAGATCGTAGCAAGTAAGGTGTCAGCTGTGGGCATGTTTTGTATTTGTATAAAATGTATTTTTAAGTATAATGCATTAGGTATAATAATTAAGCAGACAATTAGATCGTAGCAAGTAAGGCGTCATGTTAGTGTGGACCAGTGGGCATGTTAGGACCAGGTGTTCACTGGCCTTGGAGGGCAGCAGGCAGCTGAGCAGCGCTGCTGCTCAGCCGCTGCAGCTCAACGTGAACGACTCAAGTGATCAAGCTACATTTTCTATTCTTTATCATTTCCTTGTTCACGAACGCCTTTAAATTTGTGTCATTTTTCACCTGCATGAAGTGAATCTTTTATCATTTACTTGTTAATGAACGTCTTTAAACTTGTGCCATTTTTCACCAGCATGAAGTGAATCTTTCTTCATCGTTCCCTTGTTAATGAACGCCTTTAAACTTGTGTGATTTTTCACTCGCATGAAGTGAATCTTTCTTCATCATTTGCTTATTAATGAACGCCTTTAAACTTGTGCCATTTTTCTCTCGCATGAAGTGAATCTTTCTTCATCATTTGCTTATTAATGAACGCCTTTAAACTTGTGTCATTTTTCACCTGCATGAAGTGAATCTTTCTTAATCATTCCCTTGTTAATGAACGCCTTTAAACTTGTGTCATTTTTCACCCACATGAAGTGAATCTTTCTTCATTATTGCCTTGTTCACGAACGTCTTTAAATTTGTGTAATTTTTCACTCGCATGAAGTGAATCTTTCTTCATCATTTACTTGTTAATGAACGTCTTTAATTTTGTGTAATTTTCACCTGCATGAAGTGAATCTTTCTTCATCATTCCCTATGTCATGAACGTCTTTAAATTTGTGTAATTTTTCACGGGTTTGTAGTGAATCTTTCCTTATAATTTCTTAGTTTACGAACGTATTTAAACTAGTGTCATTTTTCACTCGCATGCTGAGTCCTTCATCTTATCTCATTCACAAACGTCTTAAGATTAATGTCATTTTTCACTCACATTTATTTAATTTTCGCTAACTTCCGCTACGCCCCTTGCTGTTTCAGAGAGATAGATAATCTGTTCATTTATTACTGGTTTCTCCAATTAATAATACCGAAATATTATTGTCTCGAAGTCTGAAGACATAATAAGGAATATTACTTTTTATATTATATTTTTCGTCGATTTCATTTGTCTCAGTCTTTTTTTCTTTTGTGCGTCTATTATTTTGAAAAACATTAAATTTTATCTTATTTTATATCATAACATATAATAATGCGAATGTATTACTACGAGCGTACGGGGAGATGAACAAATTTCATTAGGATTTGTTTTTTCCTGTCTTATTCTGGACGAGGTTATTTATTAGAAAATAAAGCTTCATTTATCAAGATAAGTTATAAAGACTCTTCTTTTAAACGCTACGAACAGTTTTTCAAAATTGGTCAACAAAAAGTTAATTAGACTATAAAAGACTTTTAAACATGGCAGATTTACGTCACCGTTATTTTTTTGAAGCATAAACCCTCATTTACTCCCACAACCTCTACCCTCTTCAACTTTCATAGCCTCAAACCCCTCTTCATTCATCTTCATTTCTAAAACTTAAAAAATTCGTGTTATCAAGGCCGGTTTTTACGCGCACACTCGTATATTTTTACCCCCTTGTTAAGGCATGGGCATACTTTCATAGCCCCAAACCCCTCTTCATTCCTTCTCATTTCTAAAAACCTAAAAAATTCGTCTTATCATGGCCGATTTTTACGCTCACCCTCGTATATTTTTACCCTCTTGTTAAGGCATGGGCATTAGCTAAGCAGCTTATCGCAACGTAAGTCGTTTCCTTGTGCTGCTAACAAGCGTCGCATTCTTAGTATGAACTCCAGTACAGGGAAGTGAAGTCGAGGAAATTCATTATTAAATCTCAATTATCATACAAGTTACTTATATTATTAGTCTGCTTATATCGCAAGTTCACAAAGAATTTAAAAGCAAAGAAAACGCCAAGAAAATTCACCATGTCGATATTTAAAATGATATGGTGAATTTTCTTGGCGTTTTCTTTGCTTTTAAATTCCTTACATAAAAGTTAGTAATGAATCATGTATGGTCGGAACTCTAAACTCCGGAAAAAATCATGTTACTTGGCACAAGGTACGATTTACTAAAGAAAAAGTGAATATAGTTATCCAATATGGTAATTTATCGATAAATATTTTCCGAATTAAATAGAATCAATGTAAATCATTATTGAATAATAATGAGAAAACATGCAATGACTGAATAAGTTCAAGTTTAGTGAGATAAAATTTGAACAAAAAACGAAAAAGATTTCAAAATTAAATTTTTCTGATATATATTGTGTGCCTTAAGACATTATGAAACCGTGAAAAATCTCTTGAGATTTCAATATGTTTCTTCTTGTTTTACGTTTTACATTAATAATATTTCTAAATAGAGGTAGACTAACAATATTGTTATTTTTAAACTAAAATAATTTAAGACAAACACCACGCAATTAAAAGCGATTCCTGCAATTCCTTAAACAATTAATGTCACTCCCAATATTTGAAAAAAAAATGCAACTTTAATTTTTGAGAAAATGCATGCGTTTGTGGTAACTGTACACGAGTACGAACAATAATCAGAAAATAAAATAATTTCAAGATAAATTGTTAAATCCTTCAGTCAATTTAGTTAAAAATAAAAAGCACTTCAACTAAATGCACATACAAAAAAATACACAACACGGCACCTCACCTCTTGGACACACGACACCTCACCTCTTGGACACACGACACCTCACCTCTTGGACACACGACACCTCACCTCTTGGACACACGACACCTCACATCTTGGACACACGGCACCTCACCTCTAGGCACGACAGGAGTGATGTTGACGGACACACGGCACCTCACCTCTTGGACACACGACACCTCACCTCTTGGACACACGGCACCTCACCTCTGGGCACGACAGGAGTGATGTGTCCATGAGGGCCGTGGTGATGAACTTCTGAACATTTACACTGGCGGTTGCGGGAGGCCGTGGCCAGGTTGGGACCCTGAGGGGTGGTGAGCTTGCGGGCGGGGGAGGGCGACCCTCGGCAGGAGGCGGACCTCAGCGAGGACCTCGAGAAGGAGCTCAGGAAAGGAGCTTTTTCTGACGAGGTGCTGTCTGAGGAACGGCCTGAGGGAAATGATGGGAAATATTGACTTATATTACAATGTTATCGACAAAAATATGGGAATATCTTTGATGAAAATAAGATGAAATTTCGGGTTATAGAATAGAATAAAATAGAATAGAATAGAATAGAATAGAATAGAATAGAATAGAATATAATAGAATAGAATAGAATAGAATAAAATAGAATAGAATAGAATAGAATAGAATAGAATAGAATAGAATATAATAGAATAGAATAGAATAGAATAGAATAGAATAGAATAGAATAGAATAGAATAGAATAGAATAGAATAGAATAGAATAGAAACTGGACTTATTGCCTGCTCCGTAATTTGCTAGGCATTTTAAGACTGAACATATGCTCCTGCATAGCTTCGTCTAGTCTGTTATTGAATATGTTCATACTCGGAGCGTCAACGATGCTATCAGGGAGACTGTTCCACATGTCGGTGACTCGAAGCGAGAAGAATTCAGGATTGTTGTCGCATAGTTGAGTGACAATATTACCGTTATAAATGATGAGGAAATTCGTCATGGGAACAGAAGAAAATTTTGAGTCATCTGCATTAATACCAGTATCGAAAAATATATGCGTTACGGACTAAGGGAAATGAAAGAAGATTTTAACTTTTATGTCAATATTAACAATATGAGGAAAGTCCTCAAGAAAATAAGCGGAAATATTTACTTGTGTGCTGATAATACCATAAAAATATAATAAATGTGCATACCACGCTTGGTAATTAACCGCAGGTTAGGTTTTGGTGCAGATGTCGTAGCTTGATTTACCGATTTGCATTTCCGACTGAAATTATTTGGGCACAGTATTAATCATCTCTCGATTGACTGATTAAATCATCTATTGCAAAATTATAAATATAACAATAAATAACCATTAAAAATGTGCAATTATTATACCATTTCAATTTCTAGTCCGGACGATCGGATTTCAAAGTGAACTATGAAATTTCTAATCAAGAATAAAGTTAGAGGCATCCGCCAAGCTTATTTCAAACAAAGAACTTGAGTTCTTCATTAGATTTATAATAAACACAACTGTTTTTTAATTGTATAATACATAAAAATTTCTCACCTGATCTTCTAAAGGATCGACGACTTCTGGCAAACGATCCTGGAGAACTTGCTTCTTCACTAGACTGAAAATCAGGTAACGAATTGCGACCCAGGCCTGAGTCGACCGAAATTACTTCTGTGGCACTCATGTTTCAATTTTTTAAGATTTTATAGTATATAGGAGTATTCGTCGCAAAGTTCTCAAGTATCCAGCGCGGACGAGTGACACACGCAACCTCCGTACAAGGCAGCCCGCAGCCAACTGGCGGGTGTTGTGTTGTGAACGCGAGGCCGCTGGTGCGGACCATCGCGGGTCACAGCTACCGTTTAATTTTGACCCTGAATCCTGTACTTTTTTCCTGGCACTACCAAATACAGACACAATTTTTCTTAGGCAGTCTCCATGAACTCGGCGTCAATCGCCAGAAGGCAGTGATTTATTTTTCGTTCGTACTTTTTGGCAGTGAATGAGGAACTCGTCGGCCATGATTCATTCACCAATGCCGGAAGTTTGATCACGACGCGCCGCTCAACGTACGATGTTAGGAACCTTTTAGGGTAAAGCCCGCCCGGGAGTACTTCTGCTAAGGGAGATAAGCGTTGAGTCTTGCAAGGTCGTTTAGATCATTTATTATCGCGACCATGTATCGCGTGGTTAAGATTTTTTTTCCATTTCTCGCGTTTACCATGAGAGATTGAAACGAAGAAATTCAACGTGACAAGCAAAATTAATATATCAAATAATATATATATCATTAATATATCAATTTCATATATCAATGCATCGTGCCCTCTAGCATACTAGCTCATCAGCGTTCTTTCCGTTTATAACAATTATCTTATAATTTGCATTAGGTTTCAAGTTGACTTTCAATAATCGTTTTCAAGTAGCAAGTAAGAATTTCAGTGAACTGTAATTTACATTGGAAATTACATGTGTGAAGGTATCGCGCAAGGACGTATGCGTTATTTCTGCCCTGGGTCTTCCGTTCTAATATCAGTGACAAACTAAAATATATCAAGTTTAAAATCCCCCGATTTCATGAAGCACCATAGCAGTGTTGTGATGGATTGTTTCAGTAATTTTAAGTTCTGTTTCATACCTTATAACCTTATGATGAGTTTAGGACTTTTTAGTCCACGGTCACGCTGATGCGCCGCCTTCGTCGTCCTTCGTCTCCGAGTCGTCGCTAGGCAGGTCACCCCGCCCTCGGATACCGGATGTAACGTTGGACGTGTCTCGTATGTTTGCCCTCCTTTGGGCCAGCTGATGCAAGATACTGTTGCTTGTCACTTGCTGAGGGTAGTTTCCCATTACTGGACAATCCGGGATCTTTCTCAACCAATTGTCCAGCCGTCTCTTGAATGTTGCAAGGGTGAACTCCCCTCCTCCCAGCGCTTTTGGCGAAGAGAGGATGCATTCAAGAGCCTTGGTCCTACAACGGACAGTGATTCCTCATTAAGAGTCTGTACTCTGGCCGCGGCTCGGTTATTAAATGGGGGAACCCTGCACAGTCTCCCCTTCCTTTCGTTGTAACGAGTCACTATTCTGGAGGTCTCATTCTCTAAGTTAGGAGCCAATCCGGTTATCATCTTCCAAGTGTACAGTATAACATAACATAACATAACATAATGATGTCGGCGCTGAAATGTAGGCCTGATGTGGCCTGTCGCCGATTCTTTTCCTTTTCGTGAAACACACTTCTTCAACAGCACTGCCGGAATTCCGTCGGGTCCTGGTGCTGAAAACGTCGCCAGTTCTTTGATACTTATTTCCATGTCTTCCGGTCCAAACTCTAATGTTCTCCAGCTCTCTACCTCCTAGAGAACTTCAATTTCATTCTCCTCCCTTGAGTAGCGGGGGTTACTGAACACTGATTCAAACTTTGATTCCAGTAACTCACACATGCCTTGGTCATCTCCGACAATGACTTCGTTCGTTATCTTTAAGCGGGCCTACTGGCGTCTTTATTTTAGCCTTGGACTGAGCGTATTTAAAAAAATACTTGACGCTCTCTTTGATGACCTCAACCACTCGCTCTTCCGCGGCTTGTTCTTCCATCCTGTGCGAGTCCTGCAGCCTGAGTTCAATTTCCTTGTGCAAATCTACTAGCCTGTGTCTCCTCATATCACTAGTGGATTCAGCTATTTGTTTATTTAATCGCTTGCGTTTTCTCATAAGGATTCGTCGGTCTCTTGGAATGCTGTGGACTTTAGGGCCTGTTTTTCTCGGGGTATGACGCACACATACCTGTGCTAGTTTCTCACACAGTTTTGTGTAGATTTCCTCAGCATTCATCTCGTGGAACTCCGCTCTCCAATCGATTTCGTCAATTTCATTCCAAATTGCCACCCAATCCGGTCTTCGTTTAATGTTGTAAAATTTGTAATGTAATCAAGTTCCGTATGGTTTACAATAAAGGATGAATAAAACTACGTAATCATCGTGGTTAATTATAAATAAAATATGTCTCGGGAAGTAGAGAAATTTTCTCATTTCCCAGCAGAGCCTCGAATGCACTGGCTTCCTAAATGGCAGGCTGGCGTACAATTTATAGGCGTACAAAATTCAAAATTACGTAAAGGGTAGGAAAAATCGAAGCAGCTGCGACCAAAATTAATTTATGAAGAAATAAATACATAATTCAACCAAAACTTAAATTTGATATTAATTCTCCCATTTCTGGAGGAATTGAGTTTTCAGGTACAAGATCCGCAGGCGGAACATGAACTGGTTCCGATCGTAGTGAGTGCAGAGAATCAATCATCAATGAAAATAATTTACTTATAAATATTATTCTTAAGAAAAGTAAGATTGACAACGCACAAATGAAATCTTTTATGAAGAACAGAAATTTCACAATACCGCGAGTTGGGTGTAAAAGACTTGAAAACGAGCTTAAACGTTCACTCAAATTTCTTCCACTGGAGCTAACAACAATCTATTTAATTTTCACTTTCATCTCAAAAGCGTAATCTCTCGTCGCTCCGACATGAAAAAATTTCATAACCAAAATTTGACAACAGAGCAGAGCAGAAACAGAATATATTTTTCCAGGTTCACTATCATTCTCGTAAGAGATGCTGTTGTGAACTGGCCCCGGCAGGGTGGAACTCTCGAGTTCAATATGTGATTTGGTACACATAAAATATTTTATGACAAGAGATTAATTTTACTTATGTGGATCTTTTCCCATTGTTGTTGTCATTGCCTAATCTGGTAGTGGCGACTAGGGAGGCGGGTTCACATCGAGCATTGCTAACCTTTCTGCATGGAAACTGCATGCAATACTGAACGACTGGATGGAACTGTTCCACGCAGTTCCACCTATAGCATTCAACCCTGCCGAAAAAATATAACTCAATACTCACTGCAGTGAGTGAAGAGAGCGCATTTTCTCGTCGACGAAAATGGTGAAGTCCCGGACAGACAGACGGACGGACGGACATGGCGAGAACAATAGCGCATTTTTTCCATAAATGAGAAAATGCGCTAAAAAGCAAAGATTCGATGCTAAATGAACATGAAGTCCATCGCGACCCAGAATCTAAGATGGAACAATACCTCTTCTTCGGCCTGATGACCATGAGGACAAAATCAGGTCGTCCATTTCGGATTGCTCTAACTTTTGAGGATTAATCAAACATTTCATGAAAAAAGTCTTCTGTCGATTGATTGTTTACAATATGTTCAACAGAGATTGTAAATTGTAATTATTTCCACTACTTATTACGCAACTTCTCCGCGTTTGGATTTTGAAATAAGTTTGGTCATTGTGAGTGGTGGTGACGTTGATCCGTGGTTTCGTATACCAAATAAAATGTCAGCAACTTGACAATTCCATTTGTCAATCATTTCATGGTTTTATATACACAAAATTTGATTACTTATATCATTAGTCTGCTTATATCGCAAGTTCACAAGGAATTTAAAAGCAAAGAAAACGCCAAGAAAATTCACCATATCGATATTGAAAACGTTTCGGAGTCCAGCTCCATCATCAGTTCGACTAAAATTTAGTCGAACTGATGATGGAGCTGGACTCCGAAACGTTTTCAATATCGATATGGTGAATTTTCTTGGCGTTTTCTTTGCTTTTAAATTCCTTGTGAACTTACAAAATTTGATGATATGAAAAATGTAAGTGAGAATGTTTCCCGTCGTTTTAATAATCTGCTCTTTTCATCTGAAGTATCGTGAATAATTCGAACCTTCACGATTCGTATCGGCACGAAACTGAACTACAACTTTCATCTTTTAAGCTCTGGTAGCACAATAAAGAACAGATTCTTTGAAATCAAGAACAAAAACTGCAAATCTCGTACGGCCAGTGGCAGCCAGATGGACTTTACAAGTATATCGACTCGTGTAATTATCGACAAAGTATAATTTACAAAACTTTATAACGACCCTGACTCTTGAGTCCTCCGCCACTTGTGCGGAGCTTGACCAGTTCTTCCCTGATGAGTCTGATGATCTCGGCTTTGGCTTTGGAGACGGCAAGCTCAGATGTTGACTCGATGGCAAGGAAGAGTTTACGTTCTCCTTCTGGAGGGTTCTTGCTCTGAAAAATTCATGCCGATTAATAGTTAAAAGATGCCACTGATTAATCATATGAGATAAAAATACTAGCATTGAAACAGTAACAAAAAATTCAGTCAATGAGGGCAATTGCTTTGCAATCCCAAGAAATGAGAACACGAAATGAAAAATTCATGACGATTAATAGTGAAAAGATGCCACTGACTAATCATATAAAATAAAAATACTAGCATTGAAACTGTAACAAAAATTTCAGTCAATGAGGGCAATTGCTTTGCAATCCCCAGAAATGATAACACGATATGAAAAATTCATGACGATTAATAGCGAAAAGATGCCATGGACTAATCATATGAAATAAAAATACTAGGCTTGAATCTATAAAAAGAATTTCAGCCAATGAGGACAATTGCTTTGCAATCCCCAGAAATGATAACACGATATGAAAAATTCATGACGATTAATAGTTAAAAGATGCCATGGACTAATCATATGAAATAAAAATACTAGCAGTGAATTCGTAACAAAAAATTCAGCCAATGAGGACAAATGCTTTGCAATCCCAAGAAATGAAAACACGAAATTCAAGTATCAACCCTTGTCAGACTGCATCATTTTTCAACGTTTTAATCGTACCGAGTGTAGCCTAGTTATACCGATGCAGTCCGACACGAGTCAAACATCGGATAATAAGTTATTATCATTACTATAGGAAGCGGTTTTCGTGGCGTCTCGTTTAACTGAACTCCGAGGGCACGTTGCACGAAAAAAATATACCTAACTCAGTACTCACTGCAGTGAGTGACAGAGAGCGCATTTTCTCGTCGACGAAAACGTGAAGTCACGGACGGACAGACAGACGGACAGATAGACAGACAGACGGACGGACATGGCGAGCACAATAGCGCCTTTTTTCCATAAATGAGAAAATGCGCTAAAAAACACGAGAAAATATATTAACGGTAAAAAATGTAGGCTCGACATTCGGAGGCTCTACAAAAAATGTCCCACAGATCTTAGTACACGTACAGCTGGGCAGAAGGTGCCTCTGACAGTGATGCCAGCTTCAGAGTACTCAGATATCTGAGCGAGGGCCTCCTTGCTGGTGACACGCCACCTCGCCTGCTGGGGGAAGTCGTTGATCTCGAGCTCCTCTTCATATTTCTGGTAGCTCTCCTCCGCCATGCTGCTGTTGGGGTTGTCTTCATCGTCCAGGTCTCCAGAGGGCTGGTAGTTCAGACGGTTGTTCAGCTTCTGCGCCATCTGCAATGCAGGTGGAAGTTAAGGGAAAGGTAATTATCAAATAATTAAAGGACTAAAAGGAGGTGATATTATTGAGTGAAAATTAGTTAAATTATGGAAACGGTAATTAGTATCAATTAATAAACGAAGGTGATATTATGGAAATGGAAGCCAGAGGACTGGTAGTTCAAGCGGTTGTTCAACTTCTGCGCCATCTGCAAATGGAGGTGGAAGTTAAGAAAACGATAATTATCAATTAATAAACGGAGGTGATATTGAAATGTAAGTTATGAGTGGATAAAAAACGTCATAATAAATTGCAACGAAAACGGTAATGATCAACAATAAATAATTGATATTATGGAAATTAAAGTTATGAATGGATAAAACGAACGTCGTAATAAATTGCATTGACTGTGAAGATATACAAATTATATCTGTTACCCGATTCAATCAAGTAGAAGCCTGATATTTAAATGCCATTCCAGATTCTAAATCATTTAAAAAAAGAGTAGGCGTAGAGAAATAAACGCATAACGTACGCATACTAAATTCTCCTTCACTTATTGATAAATGACAAACTGTTTGTATACTGACGGTTAACTTAAGGCCTTCAGGTTAAATAGCATTGATTCTCCTTGGCGAGTCTAGAGACAAGCGCTCAAGAGAGCTTTGGTTATTAATTAAAAATTGGTCAAAGTTGTGTTAATGGGTTACGGTTGAACGTATCTAATCAGCGACGGTCTTGGCGCTGATGGCTGCTGCTGGACGTACCTGCTCAGCGACGGTCTTGGCGCTGATGGCTGCTGCTGGACGTACCTGCGCAGCGACGGTCTTGGTGCTGATGGCGGGCTGCTGCTGGACGTACCTGCGCAGCGACGGTCTTGGTGCTGATGGCGGGCTGCTGCTGGACGTACCTGCTCAGCGACGGTCTTGGCGCTGATGGCGGGCTGCTGCTGGACGTACCTGCTCAGCGACGGTCTTGGCGCTGATGGCGGGCTGCATCATCGACGTGCCGCCCTTCATCACAAACTCGGCCGCCTGTTGGCTGGCGCCTTTCACGGTGCTTTCATGACCGCCTGTAACGGAAATTTTTTTAACAAATAAATCGTTTTATTTTAAAAAACGTTTGATTTTTTAATAAAAATCAAACGTTTTATTTTTTTTAAACGCGGTCCACAAACGTTTTATTTTAACAAATCAAACAGACATATGCGTTCCACAAACGTTTTATTTTAACAAATCAAAGAGACATGTGCATTCCAAAAACGTTTCATTTTAACAAAACAAAGAGACATGAGCGTTCCATAAACGTTTTATTTTAACAAATCAAACAGACATGTGCGTTCCATAAACGTTTTATTTTAACTAGTCAAGGAGACATGTGCGTTCCACAAACATTTTATTTTAACAAATCGAACGGACATGAGCGTTTCAAAAACGTTTTATTTTAACAAATCAAACTAAGATTGTGTGGAACTTACTAAAAATCATGGACTCGATACACCTGCAACCACAGCAATGGGCATTTATTGCAATAACACAAAAAAGTCTACGAGACGAATAAATGAATGATGGTATTATTATGACTAATAATAATGGACGATCTTCATCGTTCACACAGGGAATGAACAACACAATACCAATGAAGAAATTCATCAATCATGGAATAAATGAACATGAAATAAGTATTAATGATGGAAATACATTAACAAAAATATACTGTTATCAATCATGGAATAAATGTATATGAAATTAGTATTAATGATTTAAATACATGAACAAAAATGCAATGTTGACAAATTACTGGTAAAAAGTAACTAAGAAAATCAGGCTTACGACGAGCGGCAATGAAGCATAATTAAAGCGTTATCAATGCAGTATTTAAAGCTAATCAAAGTATTTTGTAATCCAAATGATGATACCTGCACCATGCTGCGCATTGAACTTCTGGGCAAGCCTCTTAGCGAGCTCGAGTTTGCTGGCAGCAGCGGCGGAAAGCATCATAAATGCAGTATTTAAAGGTAATCATAGTGTTTTTTAACCCATATGATGATACCTGCACCATGCTGAGCGTTGAACTTCTGGGCAAGTCTCTTAGCAAGTTCAAGTTTGCTGGCAGCTGTAGCAGCAGCAGCAGAGGCGGAGGCCTGCATGTTCAGCAGGGTCCCGCCAAGCGTTCCTGGCCCGCCCCCGATTGACGCTAGTAGCGCCGGTGAGATCAGCGGTGTAGGCTGTGAAAAAGGTAATCATTGAGCCTATATATTGGAATAATGTATGCATTGTCATATATCTGAGCCTATGGGATAGGCCAGGTAGAATAAGGTATGCCAAAACCCATGGTTTTGATACCATGGAACAAGGGGACCAATTGACGCTAGCAGCGCTGGTGAGATCAGCGGTGTAGGCTGTGAAAAAGGTAATGATTGAGCCTATATAATGGAATAATGTATGGATTGTCATATATCATATATCTGAGGCTATGTAAGATATGGAAAGAACGGGTTCCAAAGGCCGGATCCCTTGCGAATCAAGTCGCGAAAAGTTCAAGAATCGGCAACAGGCCATGGGCCTATTTCTTCAACGCCGACACTTCTATTCTATCCTATGGGATAGGCCAGGTAGAATAAGGTATGGATTGTCATATAATTGAGCCTAACGTAACGAGACGTGACGTAACGAGACGTGACGTAACGAGACGTGACGTAACGAAACGTGACATGACGTAACGAAACGTGACATGACGTAACGAGCCGTGACGTAACGAGCCGTGACGTAACGAGCCGTGATGTAACGAGACGCGACGTAACGAGACGTAACGTAACAAGACGCGACGTAACGAGACGAGACATGTCTTAACTATTTAAGGCAAAACAAGATATTCCTTACCATACGAAAACGACACGAAACATTCAGAACGCAGTTAGCTCTTGATTGTCAATGGGTAGTTGCAGGGTGGCTTTGCGATTTATACATGAATATTTAGTGAATAATGTTGCTGGAATGCTTTTAATTACGCATGACAAGAAGCATAGGAGTTCAGTACGCTTAATGACATCATCGCTAGTTGCTGACGTAGTGTCGATCGGTCAGCAGCTAAGAAGAATGTGGAAGAGTTTTTTTAGGCCCTGCAAAATGCCACGAATCAGGAGCCATACTTTCAAAACTCGCTAAGTGAATGTAAGTACTTACGCTCTATTTTCTTGTCTATGATTGGTGGATTTTGCTTGAAAGGCCGTCAATGATTGGCTGATGAACTTACGATCTCTTAACTTTTTTGGAAATTATGGGCCCCGGGCACTAATGCCACTGGTAGTTCCACGACCATCACTGGCTCGCTGACCCGCCAGAACCATTTTATTGTATTACACAACACCCTGGACAAGCCAGGTACTCATTTATCAACCAGAGTTGGCCAAGCGTAAACACCTTTTTCGGGCCTACGCTGGTTAGCTCAACGGCTAGAGGAATATAATGACGGTCTAAACTGACTCTGATGTGGAATTAGACGACCTGGGCCTATACTTTCAAAAAAAGTTCATCAGCCAATCATTGACGGCCTTTCAAGCAAAATCCACCAATCATAGACAAGAAAATAGAGCGTAAGTACTTACGTTCACTTAATCATAGACAAGAAAATAGAGCGCAAGTACTTACGTTCACTTAATCATAGACAAGAAAATAGAGCGTAAGTACTTACGTTCACTTGGCGAGTTTTGAAAGTATGGCCCCGGATGTCTTTTAAGAACTTCTTGGCTGGAATTAGGTTCACAACGGCCGTTACTCGCTATTAACATCTGATCCGTCGATTCCTACAGCGGAGTCTGGCTAGTATCCAGATATGTTTCAAATTTCATGCAGAGCTGAGAGGGTTGTGAGCTTTTCAGTTGCGTAATTTTTTTTTTCGTTCTAATCGATAACAAAATGACGTTGAAATCTGCAATATTTCCTTGATTTGAGCGTTTCTAACAATTAGTTATGTTTTCAATTTCACTCTGGCACTGCAAATTTGCCAGATGGGAACAGCTATGTCATTTTACATACCTAGTAATATACATGAAAATTTATAAAGGGACAAAATGTTGATGAGATAATGAGTGAAAGTTTACTATAATAATTAACTATTAAGGATAAACTATTACCTATGTCTCGTTATAAAAGATGAAAATTCTGGAAAATTTGAATCTCGTATTTTAACCGGGACATCTCGTCTCGGTGTTGTCACGGAATTCCCACAAAGTGGTGAAAATTGTCCCGGTTTTAATTGCTAAATGGGACAAACATGTTGTCTCGTCTCGTCTCGAATGGGTAAAGCATCAAATGAATGAGTCTAGATACAATATTAAACAATATTCATGGGATGAGCATGTGACATGGGACATGTGCAACAATGAATGGATTTTGAGTATGATATAAATATGGAAAAACTTGGTTTGAGACCAAACCAAGTTCTTGAAATTCGATAAAACGTAAAAAATCGATAAGACGGAAAACTTTTTCCTTGCAAATTTAGTACAAGAATAATAAATTGATTTCCAATCATCTTTGGGCAAACAACATAGGCGCAGTTGATGCTCGTAAATTCATTTCATGTAATCACATGCGTTATCGAAACAATCCAATCCCCTCGATAAATAAAAAAATTAGATCACTACTCATAGCAGTGAGTGACGAGAGCAAATTTTCTTTAAATCAACAAAAACGATAAGTCACGGACGGACGGACGAACATGACGAGCACAATAGCGCCTTTTTTCCATAAATGAGAAAATACGCTAAAAGCGCCATTACCTTGACTTCCTTGACAGTGCGTTTAGTGTTCAGAAGTTTAATAATATGTTGTTCGATGTCGCCCTCGATGTCCTCATCGTCAGAATCCTGCAGACCAAGCGCAGCTTTCTGGAATTTTTTCTTCTCAGTGGCAAAGTTTGCCTCTTCGTCGTCGAATTTGAAGCCTCGGCCGTGGAAACCGCCCCCAGTTTTTACTTTTTTACCCTCAGACTCCATGCGCGCTTTGTACGCGTTCCACAGGTCCTGAAGAACATTTCAAATATTAATTTAATTTTAAACTTTCTTGCCCTCAGACTCCATGCGCGCTTTGTAAGCATTCCATAGGTCCTGAAGGACACGTCAAATATCAATTTAGTTTTACACTTTCATGACCTCAGACTCCATGCGCGCTTTGTAAGCGTTCCATAGGTCCTGAAGGATATTTTAAATATTAATTTAGTTTTACACTTTCTTGCCCTCAGACTCCATGTGCGCTTTGTAAGCGTTCCACAGGTCCTGAAGGATATGTCAAATATTAATTTTATTTTAACTAAATATGGCAAGAAATTATTTATCAAAGTCGCACTTGGCACTTCAATTCACAGCTAAAACAAAATACTTGTCTACGCCGACATGTTGAATAACAGATCATTGTTGTCAAAATTAAATCATTTGAACGGCAACACACTACACACATGGAGCTCCCCCAGCAACACACATGGAGCTCCCCCAGCAACACACATGGAGCTCCCCCAGCAACACACATGGAGCTCTCCCAGCAACACACATGGAGCTCCCCCAGCAACACACATGGAGCTCCCCCAGCAACACACATGGAGCTCCTGAGGGACTGGAGTCTCGCTCATCTCCATGGCTCTGATGATGTTGCCGGCATAGCGGGGCTGGTCGGGGGAGAGGAAGGTGTACGCGTGGCCCTTGTTGCCCGCACGTCCGGTGCGTCCGCACCTGCAACCCATATAATTTAGCAGTAAATACAAGCTAAAATAATAAAAATACTGATAATAATAGTGATAATAATAGTAATAACAATTCTACTGCTACAAATAACAATAATAATGTAAGGCAGGTCATTGTTCGAATTTGGGAGCCTTTTAACATCAATGTTTTTTATCTGAATTTGCAGGTAATATACACTGATGGTTTACGATGGTAATATTTCATTTTATCATCGTTGCAATTAAAAAAAACGTATTGCACGTAGCTGAACAGTGCACGTACTGCACGTAGCTGACCTGTGCACGTACTGCACGTAGCTGACCTGTGCACATACTGCACGTAGCTGACCTGTGCACGTATTGCACGTAGCTGACCTGTGCACATACTGCACGTAGCTGACCTGTGCACGTATTGCACGTAGCTGACCTGTGCATGTAGCTAACCTGTGCACGTATTGCACGTAGCTGACCTGTGCACGTACTGCACGTAGCTGACCTGTGCACGTAGCTGACCTGTGCACGTACTGCACGTAGCTGACCTGTGCACGTAGCTGACCTGTGCATGTACTGCACGTAGCTGACCTGTGTACGTAGTCCTCGTAGTGGTTGGGAGCATCAAAGTTAACGACGAGGACGAGCTGCTTGACGTCGAGGCCGCGGGCAGCGACGGACGTGGCAACCAAGACGGGCACGCGGCCCGCCTTGAAGTCCATGATGTTCGTGTCGCGGTCTATCTGGTCCACCCCGCCGTGTAGCACCATGGCACGGTACGAGTGGCTCAGTAGGTCCTGCGGGAGGGAGGAGTGGTTAGGTTTGTGAAAGTGGTAATGGTTTGGCCATAAAAATTAAAAACTACCAAAAAATTGCCGAAAAACGACCTCTGGCCGAAAAAATGGCCGAAAAACGACTACTTTTGGGCCAACTTTGACCGACAACAACCACTCATACCAGCCATAATATTAACACGCCGCCGTGTAGCACCATGGCACGGTACGAGTGGCTCAGCAGGTCCTGTGGCATGGTAGGAGTGGTTAGATTTGTGAAAATCTTAATGGTTTGGCCGATCCTGAATAAACACAAATCTAATTGGCCGATCCTGAATAAAATCTAAGATCATTCTGGACGGCGAAGAACTGAAAGATCACAAGAAAACATTGCCATGATTGAAGAAAAAATTAATGAACCGCCTTTGGATTTCTTCCTATGAAGTTACGTGATAGAAAAATTATTCAGTACAAGACCAAACAGCATTGACAATCTGAAGATAGCAATTCGTGAAGCTCTCGCACTTATTGACCTGGGGCCATACTTTCAAAACTGGCTAAGTGAACGTAAGTACTTACGCTCTATTTTCTTGTCTACGATTGGTGGATTTTGCTTGAAAGGCCGTCAATGATTGCCTGATGACCTTACGATTACTTAACTTTTTTTTAAAGTATAGGCCCAGGATACCTTGGCTGCAGTAATCGCAAATTAAAAAAAAAAAAAACGCATTTAGCTGTCAACAGCGAGGAGGTCATTTTGAACATTCATTGTAATTTGAATAAAACTTGAATTTATACGCTTTCATGTTGTTTTTATTTCATATTTCCCCGTTTAATACTTTTCGAGTTATAAGCCTTTAATTTTAACAATTTTTGGGGGGGTCACCCTGTACCGTTCAATGGTAATAAGTGTATCGTTATTTGGACAAATTCTCTCAACTTCTCAGAGTGCCTACCTGGCCGACCGAAAACCGCTTTGATCTTTTCGTAGGCGGCGATCCATTGTGGCCTGGGACTGCTACGTCCAAAACAAAATACCAAGGACAATAAGGAGTGCCCAGTTACTCCCTGCCCACTACGTTAGTTTAGTGGCCAAATGTTTACTAGCGCTTCAGCTATTTAGCTATCTCGCACCGAAAGTCAAGATGAACATCACCATAGAGGTGGAAGGTCTCAATTATTCATCACCCACAAGGGTCGGAAGGTCTCAGATGTCCAGCCCGCTGAAGCTGGCTCGAAGGAAGCAGCGTTAGCATCTCAAAGAGACGAACTGACAAGGAGGGACAGGCCCACTACAAACCTTGTAGAGTGAGTCAGCGCTCTCTTGCTTGTCCACAAAGATGATAGTTTGTCCGAGCTCGTAGAACTGCCCCAGCAGCTCCAGCAACTTCAGGAACTTGTCGTCCTCCTCTAAGATCACCACGTGCTGACTTACGTCCTTGCACACCACCGACCGACCGCCCACCTGAACATATTATAATTAATGAAGCAGAATATCTGGAGTGAAATTACACTTTTAAACTAAATTAAATTTGAATTATACATATTTCGAACCAAAGACAGATAATTCATCTTATATACCTATAGGTGACAATTTTTCTTAATTTTCTTTCAATAAGTTTTTGAACATCACTGACCGACCACCTACCTGAAAATTTAACAATTTAATCATTTATTTAATAATTTTATTATATGTATAGTAATTAAATTATTTATTAACCTTACCATTGACCGACCCTTCCCAGAGAATATCTGGGGTATAATTATAGTTCAAAATTAGACATATTTAATGAAACTAGTTCGAACTAAACAAAAGACACATAATTTCTCTTAGATAGGCGACAATCTTCCCTAAATTTTCTTCCACTAGGCTGTCTTTGCACACCACCGACCGACCGCCCACCTGAACATTTTACAATTTAATTAATTTATTTATTACTTTTATTATTTACTAATTAGGTAATTTATTAACTTTACTACTGACCGACCCACCCCAGCAGAAAAGCAGAATGTCTGGGGTAAAATTACAGTTCTTAACTAGACACAGTTAATGAAACTAGAGAACTAGATCAAAGACATATAATTTCTCTTAGAAAGGCGCCAATTTTCCTTAATTTTTTCCAGTAAGCTTTCCTTGCACATCACCGAGCGACCGAAAACCTCATTAATAAAGGCTAGATGTTAAATTTTTTTGTCGATCAGAACACAACACCCACAGTGCTTTTAGTTTCCATATGAATTCCTCATCCTTTTATTGAATTTGATTTAAAGAGCTATAGGTTGATGATAGTTGACCATAATTTCTATGGGCTTTTCACTGACCAGTCAGTAACTTTTCACAGACCAGTCAGTAACTTTTCACTGACCAGTCAGTAACTTTTCACAGACCAGTCAGTAACTTTTCACAGACCAGTCAGTAACTTTTCACAGACCAGTCAGTAACTTTTCACAGACCAGTCAGTAACTAGGTACTCACTGACACGTCAGTAACACGTAACTAACCATAATTTCTATAGGCTTCTGAAGGATCTTCTTGGCCAAAGCTTCGACTTGCCGAGGGAAGGTGGCCGAGAACATCACCGTCTGTCGCTCTGGCTGCACGTTCTCGATGATACGCATTACCTGTATATCATTTATATCATTAATTAAAATGCAACTAATTTGTTTTAAAATCACTTGTTTGCTTGAGTCGCAAGTTAACCAGGAATTTGAAAGCAAGGAAAATACCACAAAAATTCACCATATCTTTATAAGAGAAAACGTTTCGGAGTCCAGCTCCATCGTTAGTTCATAACACAAAATTTTGTTCAGAAAAAATTCAGTCCTAGAAACACAAATAAATAGGAATCATTCATAGGTTTAAAATTTTTATTCATTCATGAGACTACAAATTTTATTCATTCATGAGATCACAAACATGAATCATTCATATGACCACAAATATGAATCATTCATTGGAATACAAATTCAAAATACTTTAAAAATCTGATGGCTGAATTCTGATTATCAGAAACCAATCCTTGCCGAATACATTTCACACATGAATGTAGATTGTGCATGTACGTTTTACCCTTAATAATAACTTAATCCTAGTCACTGATAATAACATCATCTTGTCTAAAAAGATCATTAAACATTAAAGATAATTAATTACTAAATGAAGATCATACCCTTATTAATAACTTAATTAATCTTATTCACGGATAATAACACCATCATGTCTATAAAGATCATTAAACTTTAAAGATCATTAAACATTAGAGATTAAAGATCATTATTTAAATAAATATCATACCCTTAATAATAACTTAATCTTATTCCCGGATAATAACACCATCATGTGTATAAAGATCATTAAACTTTAAAAATCATTAAACATTAGAGATTAAAGATCATTAATTAAATAAAGATCATTAATCAAATATAAAACAATTATTGAATAAAGATCATTAATTAAATAAAGATCATTACTTAAATGAAGATAATTAAACCTGTCGCACCTGCGGTTCAAAGCCGAGATCAAACATTCTGTCAGCCTCGTCCAGGACGATGTATGAGACTCGCTTGAGGTTGGTCACGCGTCTTTAATTATTAATTAATCATTAATTACGGTAATTAAAGATCATTATAACCTGTCGCACCTGCGGTTCAAAGCCGAGATCAAACATTCTATCAGCCTCGTCCAGGACGATGTATGAGACTCGCTTGAGGTTGGTCACGCGTCCGTTGTTAGCGGCCAGCATGTCGATCATGCGACCCGGAGTACACACGATGATTTCCGCTCCTCGCTTCAGTTCCGCGATTTGTTCGCTGATGCCGGTGCCTCCGTAAACTACGGCGATCCGCAGTGACGAGCGGCAAAACTTCCGACACTCTCGACCTTTAAAGGAAAGATATAATTAAGTTAAAAGATAGCAGACATGAATCTTGACATATTTTAAAAACTGATGCCGGTGCCGCCGTAAACCAAGCGATCTGGAGTGAAGAGCGGCAAAACTTCCGACACTCTCGACCTTAAAAGGAAAGATACAATGTAAGTTGATAGCAGATAAGAATCTTCACATTTATGAAAAAAATTAAGTTAACAGCAGACACGAATCTTGACATATTTGAAAAAGTGATGCCTGCGTCGCCGTAAACCAAGCGATTCGGAGTGACGAGCGGCAAAACTTCCGACACTCTCGACCATAAAAAGATACAAAGTAAGTTGATAGCAGATGAGAATCTTTACATAAAAAAAACAAATATAAGTTAACAGCAGACATGAATCTTTACAGATTTTGAAAAAATGATGCCTGCGCCACCGTAAACTACGGCGATCCGCAGTGATGAGCGGCAAAACTTTCGACACTCTCGACCTTTAAAAGATACAAAGTAAGTTAATAGCAGATAAGAATCATTACATATATGAAAAAAAAAAACAAATTTAAGTTAACAGCAGATATGAATCTAGACATATTTGAAAAACTGATGCCTGGGCCGCCGTAAACCACGGCTATCCGCAGTGAAGAGCGGCAAAACTTTCGACACTTTCGACCTTAAAAGGAAAAATACAAAATAAGTTGATAGCAGATGAGAATCTTTACATATTTGAAAAAAAACTAAATGTGAGTTAACACGAGAAGAGAACGCAAACAGGGGATGTATAAAGTTGAAATGTGAGTTAACACGAGATCAGAATGATAACAGAGAATTTTGAATGATGAAACGTGATTCAACAGACGATGTTTACATGGGATTTGAACAGATGAAACGTGAGTCTACATAAGAAAATAATGCCATCTGAGGGTTTCATTATGCAGGAAGTTATCAGCATTAGTACGGAATTGTACGAAATAAGATAGCGAAATGTATAAGATGCATGGATAGTGGATACTAAAAAAAAATCTCAGAGGCAACCCAATTAAATAGTGAACTACAAACGAGGTCTCGTTCTAGGAAAAAAATGAACCCATAGAAAGTTATAAGCTATCTGTACAAATAATGAAACTATATGGTAATAAATTAATTTATGATACTTTAATTGCAGAGAAATAAAATCTTGACCACCATAAAGAGAATTCAATAATATTTTGTTGCAAGTCAGTCTCCAGTCAAGATAAAGTAAGTGGTTAAGGTCATAATAATGGCTATAGGACCATCAGTATCCAGCAGAGTGGTAAGTAACCAACCTATTTGCATAGCCAGCTCCCTAGTAGGGGTCATAATAATGGCTATAGGTCCATCAGTATCCAGTAGAGTGGTAAGTAACCAACCTATTTGCATAGCCAGCTCTCTTGTAGGCGTCATAATAATGGCTATAGGTCCATCAGTATCCAGCAAAGTGGAACCGGTACCTAAGTAACCAACCTATTTGCATAGCCAGCTCCCGTGTAGGGGTCATAATAATGGCTATAGGTCCATCTGTATCCAGCAGTGGCGGCTGGTCCACGACATGGCGTATCAGCGGCAGGAGGAAAGCCAAAGTCTTGCCACTGCCAGTCTTGGCGATGCCGATGACGTCACGGCCTGACATGATTGCTGGGATGGCCTGGTGGAGAAAAATATTTAATCGAAAAAATAAACCCAGTGTAACATATCCGCGTGAAAATCGTGCAAAAATTAATAATAACTCTGTGGTGAAAATGCGAAGTATTGAAAAAAATAAATAAAAAATTATTATATATCAATGAAATTACTGAATAGAATTGTAAGAAAAAAAATAACCGTTACAGCTCGAAGTTACGATCATTTCAAATGTGAGTAAAAATAAAAATAAATATTACCAATGCATCATTTGCAGATATACGTGATTACACAGATATCTCACAACACCGAAATCTCAAGTTATCGGCACCGGTATCGCACTGTATCGGTACTGGTATCTCAAGTCATTGCATTGGCACTGGTATCTCAAAGAATCGATACTGGTATATCGAGGAATCGGTACTGATATCTCAAGGAATCGGCACCGGTATCTCAAGTAATCGGTACTGGTATCGCAATGTATCGGTACTGGTATCTAAACTAATCGGCACCGGTATCGCACTGTATTGGTACTGGTATCTCAAGGAACTAGCACCGGTATCTCAAGGAATCGGCACCGGTATCTCAAGTAATCGGTACCAGTATCTCAAGTTATGGGCACCAGTATCTCAAGTTATGGACACCGGTATCTTAAGTTTTGGGCACCGGTCTCTTAAGTTTTGGGCACCGGTATCTCAAGGAACCGGCACCAGTATCGCACTGTATCGGTCTCTCACTTTATCAGTCCCGGCATGCGAAGGTACCTCACCTGGGCCTGTATAGGCGTTGGCTTCTCATATTTGCATTTCTTGAGGACATCGAGCGTTCGTTTGCTGACGCCACACTGCGGCCACGACTTGATAGGACGTGGGCACCCCACACCCTTAACTTTAATGCCCTCGAGCTCTTCTCTGTAGGTCTCGACCTCTTCTTTACTCATGCTCGCGATCTCGGGAACCTCGATGTAGAAATCCTTACGAAATGGTACGTACTCCACCGTCCCGTGGTCTACTTTGGCCAGTTCCTGCAAGTTCAATGGATGAGATAACAAAAATAAATAAATAAAACCTAAAAAATGGCAACCTTTATCATTTGTAAGTTCAATCGATGAGATAACAAAAATAAAATGAAACCTAAAAAATGTAAGTAATCTTTTTCATTTGTAAGTTCAATCGATAACAAAAAATAAAAAATAAAACCTAAAAAATTTAAGTAATCTTTATCATTTGTAAGTTCAATCGATGAGTTAACAAGAAAAAAAAACTAAAAAATGTAAGTAATCATTATCATTTGTAAGTTCAATCGATGAGATAACTAAAAATAGATAAGTAAAACCTAAAAAATGTAAGTAATCTTTATCATTTGTACAATGTATAATGTAAATTGGTGAGATTCAATGGAAAACAGAAAATTATTTTAACATCGTACACATTTCATTAGCAAGACTGGGCAAACGAAGCGTGCAAACTCTCTTTATAGTTCACCATGTTTGCCATTAATTTTTATACTGAGCCTTTCAACCAGTTTCTTGAGGGTGTCAACTTCAAATCCCATGCCGAAATATCGCTATAATAACATACCTACTAACTGCTAACTTCTGTCATTAACCACTAGTTTCTCACATTCTTTCACTTCTTAGCCAATCTTATCTTACCTTCCAGCCCTTCTTAGCTATACTAAGCACGGTATCCTTGAGATCCTTCACCTTCCTGCCCTTCTTAGCTATACTAAGCACGGTATCCTTGAGATCCTGTCTCTTATACACATCTAGATGTGTATAAGAGACAGTAGCTATACTAAGCATGGTATCCTTGAGATCCTTCACCTTCCTTCCCTTCTTAGCTATACTAAGCATGGTATCCTTAAGATCCTTCACCTTCCTGCCTTCTTAGCTATACTAAGCACGGTATCCTTGAGATCCTTCACCTTCCTGCCCTTCTTAGCTATACTAAGCATGGTATCCTTGAGATCCTTCACCTTCCTGCCCTTCTTAGCTATACTAAGCATAGTATCCTTGAGATACTCTCCCTTCTCCCTCTAGCTATACTAAGCACGGTATCCTTGAGATCCTTCACCTTCCTGCCCTTCTTAGCTATACTAAGCATGGTATCCTTGAGATCCTCTCCCTCCTCCTCGGAGCTGTACTCCAGACCGTCTTGGTTCTGCTCCATTAGCTCCCCTTTCTTGCGACTCTTCTTGTTAGCGACGCCCGTTATTATAACGGGCTTCTTAACCGTGCTCGCGACACCCGTGACAATAACGGGCTTAACCGCGGGGACTTCAAGTTCACCCGTGCCGTTTTTCACGGTGTTGGTTATGGTGGTGGTTGCAGCATCCGTGGTGGTGGTGGTTGCGGGTGGTAATGGTGGTGGTTGAGGGACTGCGTCTGGTTGGGTGGTTACCGCAGGGGCGGGAGGGGTAACCAAAGTATCTGCTGAAGGTGAAATATAAGTTACTTAAATAATTTATTATTAGCGAATAATGAAAAAATAGACCAATTATTATTCATTTTGAAGAATTATTTGAAAAATTTGGTTGTAAACGTAGTATATGCAAATAAATTACAACAGTAAAATTGTTAACCAGAAAATTCACGCTGATAAACTATCGCAAAGTTGCCTGAACTTTGAGATATAGCACATCAATCCAAAACGAATTATGATATATGAATACATTTTAGTTAAAACTTCAAGTTATGAAATGTTCCACTACAAATTTATATTATAATGAAATGTAAATAATGAAATATTTTTTTGCATGAAAACCATGAACCAAAATTAACGAAGCATGTTGCAAACATGTTTTATAAAACATCTGCAGGGTATTCAAAGAAAAAAAAATGATCAAAGAAACATTTTATGGATTTCAGAGTTTAATCACTGATAAAATTGGAAAATATTTCATGAAAAAAATATTTGTTCTTAGTTTCAATTCTGATACGTCATCTAGATCTATTACAAAAACAATTGATATAATTTTACAAAATCAATGTAAACATTAGCCTAAAGTATTTTCTTTCATTCACCAAGACCAAGAATAGTCTACATAAATGCATTAAATGCTTCATTACCGAAAGAAGGAACAAAACAAATGTCTCCAAGTATCTAGAGATTAACATAATAGAACATTAATGTATGTAGTAATTATGCTGGGGGAAGCAACGTTATAATTTAGAGGCTCTCGAAACTATTAAATTTTCTACCTGATACGGCCATTTAATAGCATTTACGGCCACAATTTCGTACCTGATACGGCCAAAATTTCGTACCTGATATGGCCATTTAATAGCATCTACGGCCACAATTTCGTACCTGATACGGCCATTTAATAGCATCTACGACCACAATTTCGTACCTGATACGGCCATTTAATAGCATTTACGCCCACAATTTCGTACCTGATACGGCCATTTAGCAACATTTTCTTCAATGTACATCCTCCTCTAGCATTTTAAACTCTGCCACTCCCACTACATATTTCCATGTCTGTTATGCTCATTGTTAAAACATTTTTATGTCTGTTACGCCAATTCACTAATATTATTTTAATGCATGTTTAAAAAGGTTTTCATGGATGTTTAATGTAAATTGAAACGAAGAACTGCTCCTGCTTACAAAAAATGTCGATAAAAGGGTGTGTTTTTAATCAAAATCAAGACTAATACGAAAAATTTAGTGACTAAATAATCGGTCTATAAAGAATGGCAAGCTTTATCACTGATACAGGCAACCTCAAGAAACATATTTGAACAAAATAATAAATATATAAACTAAATTCTTTAAAAGACATACATTTATTCATTTAATTACATGCTAGCAAAAATGACCAAGCGCTCCGATTTCAAAGAAGTTCTTGAATAAGTGCAAATAAGACGAGCTGAAATAAACATATTTAGTGACATCAATAGAATGTATTATAATAGGATGTATAATTATAAAATATAAAATAATAGAATGGATAAAAATAGAATGTATGATAATATAATGTATAATAATAGAATGTGTGATAATATAATGTATAAAAATAGAATGTACGATAATTTAATGTATTATAATAGAATGTATCATAATAAAATGTATAATATGATGTATAATAATAAAATGTATAATGATATGATTTATAATAAGAGAATATCTAACAAAACCAAGCTGGAAAAGTATTTGCAGATTGAGCGATGACAAACAACGTGAACAGCGAGTAATATAAAGTAATGTACAAGACTGTAAATTATAAAGCATGTACATCAAGGATAGGAATACATCTTCTATTGCCTGTATACCTATGTACATACATGTACATAGGAATACAGGTATAATAGAACGAAGACGGTATGAAGAATGGTAACAAAAATATAGGAAAATAATAACAGCACAGTACAAAAAGGTAACAAAAATATAGGAAATAACAGAGCGCAATACAAAAAGGGAACAAAAATATAGGAAATAACAGAGCACAATACAAAAAAGGTAACGAAAATATTGGTAAAACAAAGAGCACAATACAACAAGGTAATAAAAATCTAAGATAATAATCTAGCACAGTATAAAAAGATAACAAAAATATATGAATAGTAATCTAGCACAGTACAGAAAGGCAATAATAATGGTATTCGTACCAGCAGGGCTCAGGGCCGAGTCCTGGCTATATAAGTCCAAGTCTGCTTCACAGTCTGTGGAGACACTACATATTATATAACTTATCAATAACTTATTTTAAGAGAAACATATTGCCTTAATATATATATTATTATAGAATATGTATTATAAAAAATATTATTTATATTAGCATTACATTTCTATACAATATGTCCAGTTTCTTATAATTTACATTATATATAATTTACATAATGTGGAGAGACAACGTCCGGGAGCTAACACTACACTACCATGTTATATAACTTATCAATAACTTATTTTAAACACTACAATACATGTTACATATTGTATAACTTATCAATAACTTAGTTTAAAACACTAGACTACCATGTTACATATTGTATAACTTATCAATAACTTATTTTAAACACTACACTACAGGTTATATATTACCTATATAACTTATCAATAACTTATTTTAAGAGAAACATTTTGCCTTAATATATATTATAATAGAAAATGTATTATATAGCACATAATATTTATAGTATTACATTTCTATATAATATATCTAGTTTTTTATCATTTTTATTGTATTATATTATAGAAAATTTATTATATAGAACATAATATTATTTATAGTAATTCATTTCTAAACAAATTTCAAAACAATATATCTAGTTTCTTTTCATTTATATTCTATTATATGGTATATTATACCTTTTTTAAACATTTATTTTTAAAGAATATATATTATATAGCACATATTATTTATAGTATTACATTTCTACACAATATATCTAGCTTATTTATCATTTATATTCTATTATATTGTATATTATACCTTTTTCAGACATACATTATTGAATATATATTATATAGTACATAATATTATTTACAGCAATACATTTCTACACAATATATCTAGCTTATTTATTTATCTAGCTTATCTAGCATCTATTATATTATATATACACAATATATCTATTTTCTTATCATTCATATTCTATTGTATTGTATATTATACCTTTTTTAGAGTGTATTGTAGTGCTGGGTTTGCCGGCCCTGTTGATGCGCCGCACCTCCTCCTGTATGCCTGTCATGAACGCGTCCAGCGGGTCAACTTCATCGTCCTGCAAATATAAATAATTTACAAATAGTTAACCATAAACCGCCTGACATGAATAGGTATGTAATATAATAATATTAGTATTATTAATATGGGTCAACTTCATCGTCCTGCAAATACAATTAGTTATCCCTCTACCGCCTGACATGAGTAACCGGAGTAATATTAGTAGTATATTAATATTACTAATGTAATATAATATTAGTATTATTAATATTTGTAACTGGAGCAATATTTAAACCGGAAATTTAAGCCAAGAAAAGTACAAGAATCGGCGACAGGCCTATTCTTCAATGCCGAAGATACTATACCGTACTATACTAATATTAGTTGTATATCAATATTACTTATATAATATAAAGATATTAGTAATATCAATAATATTAGTAACTGTCCGGAGCAATATTAGTGGTAATTAGTATTACTAATATAATATAATAACATTAGTAAACAAAGCAGTATTGTCACGCGCCTACTTCCCAAAAAGGATACGTTCTAGTGAGCGCAAAATGACTTTCACTGATGGTTGCCGCCACGTACGACAACTTTAAAATGTTCTCTGTTGCGTACAAACGTCCTCAGGTTGCTACACTCAATAGTTTACGTATAATTTAAGTTGAAAGTTATGTTCCCGGAGAGTGACATACGGCGGCAGAGGTTTAAGGTGGTTGTACACCTGGTGTTCACCATCATTGTTCAATTAGAAGAGTTTAAATCCTAATGCATAACTAAAATCTTTCCAATCTCAAAGCATTATCTTTCTTTGCCCTTACAGAGTAATTTATGAAGTTAAGCTCCTAACTCTACAATAAAATCATACCTCATCATATAATTAGATATTTCAACCTTCTAAATAATCCTAAAACCAAACAAATCTCACTGCATCATATTTCTTCTCGCCCGCACCATCCTCCTCATCCTCCAGGTTCCAGGCCTTAGCAATATAATTATATATTTCAATCTGACTAAATAAATCCCAAATCTCACGGCATCATCGTAGCTAATAATCCTAGAAATAATCCCAAATCTCACTGCATTATCCTTCTTCTCGCCCGCACCATCCTCTTCATCCTCATCATCCTCGAGGTTCCAGGCCTTAGCCGAGCCCTTAGGCACGGTGATGGTGCCCTTCTCCGCCTCCCTCTTCGTCATCTCGATCTCCTTCTTCTTCTTCTCCGCTCTCCACTTCTCTATGCGCTCTCTCCGCTTACGCATCTCCGCCTCCAGCTGCTTCTCTGCTTCTTCCTGTTATTTGTTACAATAAATACAAGTTATAGAAGATATTAATAATAACTATCTATAGGAATTATAATCATAGGTTATAGAAGTTATAGAGGCTATAATAAATAGAAGTTATAATAAATGAAGGAATTGTAAAAAAATCTTATAGCCCATGAAGTCAAAGAGTCAAAGCTTAATATCTGACAAAGCTCATGAATAAGAACGGAATTTGACGCATGAAAAACGCTGGTATCCATGGCTACAACAAGTGTAGCCATGGATACCGTAATGTTAAAAACCGCGTCATGGGAGAGTATATTTTTACTAATAAAAAGACAACACGTTTTACGAACATTTCTCTTACGACACATTGCATGATACAAACTGAGTCTAAATTATTCACAAAGAAATATATGCATTGGTCTTACAAGTTTACTAAAAAGTCTTACTTAGTTTATCTGAGTAAGACTCAAAAAAGTCTTACTCAGTTCTCTGGGTGTACTTAATGCAATAAACATAGTTTCATATATTAATAATGAATGAATATTATGAATGAAGGCATGAATATAACTATTAACTAATGAATGAATATTATGAATAGTGGCATGATTACCTATTACTAATAAATGAACATTAAGAATAATGACATGAATATTACTAATGAATGAATATAATGAATAATGGCCTGAATTTTACTAAGGAGTGCAAAATAAAAAACAATACAAATTTTCGATTGGAGCCAAAGCATGACAATCCTGGTCTGTCACTCACCTTATCTAGGACGGTAGGATCAAACACTTTAGGATCATCCCTACTCTTGCTCCTACTTCTGCTCTTACTCTTCTTGCTCTTCTTCCGATCCCTGGACCTAGATCTTTTTCTATCCCTGGATCGGGATCTTTTAGATCTGTCTTTCCGGTCACGAGATCTTGACCGAGAGCGCTTGCGATCTTTTCGTTCACGGGACTTCGATCGCTTCCTCTCGCGCGATCTCGATCTTTTGGTTCGGTCACGACGATCCCGCGATCTTGATCGACGTCGATCTTTGCTTCTCGACCGCCGCGATCGCGATCTGAAAATCAGAAAACAATTCATGAGCTTTTTAGCGCATTTTCTCATTTATGGAAAAAATGCACTATTGTGCTCGCCATGTCCGTCTGTCTGTCCGTCCGTCCGTGACCTCAAGTTTTCCTCGACGAGAAAATGCGCTCTCTGTCACTCACTGCAGTGAGTACTGAGTTACATTTTTTATATATTAACTCCTTCCAGGTGTCACAATTTTACGAAGTTATTAGGGAATTTGGATTTAAGAATCCCATAAATTTGGTTTACGTAACCATGAAATAAATGGCCATGTTACAACATGGAAAAACAATATCCGAAACTGACATAACGTATTTTAAGTGACACAAATGTGACATTTGTGTCTATTATGTGTCTCATAATAGACATTTGTGTCACTTAAAATACGTTATGTCAGTTTTGGACTTTTTTCCCATGCTTTAACATGGCCTCACGTTTCACGGTTACGTAAACCACATTTAGGAGCAAATTCAGGTCGTAATGATAGGTCTTTAAGTCAGAACTCATTGAATGCCAAAAGAACACGTTTGATTAATGTGATAGACTGTCAGGCTTGATAAATGTGATAGACTGTCAGGTTTGATAAATGTGATAGACTGTCAGGCTTGATAAATGTGATAGACTGTCAAATGTGATAGACTGTCAGGCTTGATAAATGTGATAGACTGTCAGGTTTGATAAATGTGATAGACTGTCAGGCTTGATAAATGTGATAGACTGTCACGCTTGATAAATGTGATAGACTGTTCAAGATTCAGATGTAGACCAGCAGTGTCCAACCGTGGCGAAATTATAATGCTCACAAATACTTGTTTATTTGATTTATTTGAACGACGGTTGCTTCTTCATAAGGACGGTTAATGAAGAATTTGTCATGCAGTTTTTTAATTACGACCTTTTTTTACAGACTTGCTTACATGGTTATTCTACAGGAGAATGCTGCTCGCAGTTCATGACGGCAGATGGAGACTTGGCTACGTAATATATTCACTAGAAACCAACTTAGGAAAAATTATCATGTGAGCTTAACAGTGAGTGTTTCGAGGATCATTCAGTCATTAACTCAGTTGGTGTCCACTATACGTAATTTATTGCAAGCTCACAGTATGTCGTAAATTTTTCGGAATTTTCCGAACAACTTCTAGACATTTTATTACCGATTGCACAAAGGTAGATGAGCAAGCATTCGGTCAAAGGAATTGGAATTGGGGTGCGTGGTGACCTACGGTTACGACCTTTAAATCGGTCATACACGCTGTCTAAAAACTTTTACTAGTATCAAAAAATTAAAAGTTCACACTTATGCTAACAAAAAAGTTCAAATATACCATATTCACAGCTGTCCTAAGAAAAAATATATATAAAAACTTGAATATTTCGTTATGCAACATCATAAAAAAAATAACGTGGTATAACAATTCGGTACGGTCACATATGTCTTCCCACCCTCCCCTCTCACAACCCTCCATTCCTCAAGACTCCACTCCACTCACTGTCCTCCCTTTATAAAGGGAGGACAGTGTTAAGTGAAAAGCCAAATTATCGAGAGAATTAAAGTTATTATCTCTACTTTGCTAGGATCAGCGCCTTTGATGAAACCTCAACTGAAACTTGCATGCTGATCTGAAGACGGCCAATGAATGACGAATTGACGCCAATGATCAACGAATCACGGCTAATAGATGAGAACCACATCCAATGGATAACAAAATACGGCCGATAGCCAATGAATCACAGCCGACGGGCAACAAAACACGGCAATGGCAACGAATCGCGGCCAATGGACAACAAATTACGGCCAATGGGCTACGAATTACGACAAATGACCAATGAATCACGCCCAAAGGACAACGAATCACGGCCTTGGTGCTTCATACGCTGGCGACCTTACCATCTTTGTCTCGTCTCGGTGGCTGGACGCTGCGGGCGTGTCAAATTGTTCTGCTTCCAAGAATTTGAGACCGTGGCCCCGGGTAAATCCTCTGACATTCTCTTCACTCCAGACACCCACCAATCATGCAAACATCCATCTGCCTCCATCTGCAATAGCCCATCCCCCTGGACTTAACCCCCTAAATCCTATAGGTGTCACCTGGGACATGCATTGCCCCTTTGCCCAACACGTCAAGGCTGTACCGTGGTCACCAAAGCTTCTTGCGGACCTTGGCAGCCTTGGCCGGCACCAACTGCGCATGGGGCTTCTCAGAATAAGACATCATCGCCACATTCAGAACCATCACAAGCCTAATCATGAACTATGCAGCTCCCATCTAGTACACGCATTACACCTTTGCCCTCCACGTCAAGGCTGTGGTCACCAAGGCTTCTTGCGGACCTTGACGGCCTTGGCCGGCACTAACTGGAGCTTCTCAAAAGAAGATATCATCACCACATTCTGAACCATCACAAGCCCAATCATGAACTATACAGCTCCCATCTGGTACACCATCGCATCACACACTGCTGTAGCAAGCAAGTCTGCAAACAATACAGAACTCGGCTTTGAGGATAGCTATTGCATTGATGCATGAAGATTACCTCTATCAAACACCTCCACACCGAGACAGGTGTTCTACATTGGTCTGTGCATCTGTAACTCACATGCGCGCAGTTCCCTAATAGCGCCCTTTGGCCACGCCATTTATCCTTTCCTCTTGTCTCCGTGCCTTCCAGAGACAGACTCACAAGGGCCACCCTCCTCTCCAGATTCGTCAACCTTGTGGCTCCTCTCCTAAGGAATGGTATCATGCCCACCAACTTTTATGGTAAGGCTAAGAGGACCCTCTGCCGAGAGATGTCCGACTGCATTTCAGAAGAGCCTGAAGCCTACAGGGTACTGGCTGCCTCACTCCTCCAGTTGCCCAGAAGAACATCTTCCTGCCCATTGGGTTAACAGCCCCATTGAGGCTGTGGCTTTTCTCGCCACCATTCCCGACATATATATTAAACTGAATTTGAATATTAAATTCAAATTTGAATATTAAATTGCAAATTCGAATAAAATGCTCATCTGCCCACCTAACGTTCGCTGCCCCCGTCCACCACTTGAGCTGCTCCCAAGGTGCACATGAAAGTCGGCACAACCAACACCAATAACAACAAGGACAATGGACAAGAAACTACGGATAATTTTCACTACTTTTTTCAATGTTGCTTCACATAGGTACCTACTGAATTATTGCTACAAACTAAAGGGTTACACTTACTTGGATTGTTTAAGATCTTTTTCAACGCTGTGAGATCTGCTTCTTGAGCGGCTCTTTGACCGCCTTTCTCGCCTGCAAAAAATTATCTATTAGCTATTTAGCTTCAAAACAGGTTTTTATATATAATATCACCAAAAAATGTGGCAGTTGGCACTAGATTGACTGAAGACTTGTTTTGGTCTCGTGCAATTATGGCAAATCCAGCCTGTTTTCCTGAAAAAAATGAGCAAAAACCTGACTTGTAAAAATGCAAATTTCTGTTCTTGCACTTTATGGCATGGGCCATAAAGTACAGATTCATACTGGTATGCATGCGATTATGCATGCCCATAAATTATGGGCATGCATTAAATTATCCAAGGGCAACAATCACAGCATAGGATAGGTCAATAAAGGACGGGCGGGGTAAATCGGGACAGTCATCCCATATTTCGTTTAAATGTTCTAGCAGCTAAACTAATTAAAATATTGCAAAACTAAAAATAGTGTCGTAAACTTCAACATTTTTACTATCTACTTAGCATGAAGTAAATTAAGAAATCATACATTTACTAACTCTAAAAAATTCCTGAAAAAGAGTGTGAACTGTGAAAAGTGAGATTTTGGAACCTCTGCTAAGGCCTGGAGCAAAAAAATATTCACTGTATTACAAAATTTCACTTGCATAAAAGTTGCACACAGGTATTGGCTTAAAAACGTGATTGACGGAATTTGCGTATCATATTAAAAAAAATGGCGGCCATTTCTGCTTGATGGGGAAATAAGGGACAACCCCCTCCCTGGGGTAAGAAGGGACACCTCTAAAAACGCATTTACAGTAGAACTTTGATTGGCAAAGGCTCCAGTTCAATTTAATCAACTAACAACAAAAAGGCTACAAAAAATCAATTACTAACAAAAAATACTGATTACATTTACCTTGCTCAGCAAAAAAAAATCACTCAATGAAAAATTAATGCATCATCGGTCTTCACAAAATTGTGCATAGAATGTCGTAGATAGAATTGTGCACCGGGCAACATAGAATGATAAGTAATTAACCTAAACTATAATTTATTTCTCCAAAAAATATGATGATCGTCACTAAAATATTTCGTTCTGTTTCAGGTATGTTTTTATGACCGTTTTTGTTTCGTATCTGTCCGTTTGCTTGTATCTGTCACTTGATCATAATGTGCATACGTCTAGCGCGCCCGATGCGATCTATTGCATTCTAACGCGATCGAATTCTAACGCGATCCATTGAATTCTAACGCGATCCATTGAATTCTAACNCGCGATCTATTGCGTTCTAACGCGATCTATTGCGTTCTAACGCAATCTATTGCATTCTAACGCGATCTATTGCAATCTAACGCGATCTATTGCATTCTAACGCGATCTATTGCATTCTAACGCGATTTATTGCATTCTAACGCGATCTATTGCATTCTAATGCGATCTATTGCGTTCTTACGCAATCTATAGCGTTCTAACGCGATATATTGTGTTCTAACGCGATCTATTGCGTTCCAACGCGATCTATTGCGTTCTAACGCAATCTATTGCATTCTAACGCAATCTATTGCACTCTAACACGATCTGTTGCATTCTAACGTGATCTATAGCATTCCAACGCAATCTATTGCGTTCTAACGCAATCTATTGCATTTTAACGCGATTCATTGCATTCGAACGCGATTTGTTGCATTCTAACGTGATCTATAGCGTTCTAACGCAATCTATTGCATTCTAACACAATCTATTGTGTTCTAACACATTCTATTGTGTTTTAACGTGTTCTAACAGGATCTATTGTGTTCTAACGCGATCTATTGCATTCTAACGCGATCTATTGCATTCTGACACGATCTATTGAGTTCTAACGCAATTTATTTTGTTCTAATGCGATCTATTGCGTTCTAACGCGATCTATTACATTCTAACGCGATCTATTGTGTTCTAACGCGATCTATTGCGTTCTAACGCTAATTATTGCATTCTAACGTGATCTATTGCGTTCTAACACGATCTATTGCACTCTTAAGCAATTTAATGTAACCCAAGGCAATCTAATGTAACCTAATGCAATCTAATGCATTCTAATGCATTCTGATGCAATCTCATATAACCTAATACAATCTAATGCATTCAAATTCAAACTGACACTTTCTACTGCAATCTAAAGCATTCTAATTCAAACTGACACTTTCTACTGCAATCTAAAGCATTCTAATGCAATCTAATATAACCTAATGCAATGTAATGCAATCCAATGCACCCTAATTCAATTTAATGCATTCTAATGCATTGCAATGAAATCTATTGCAATCATATAAAATCTCAATGCATTCCTACACATTCTAATTCAGTCTATTCAATTTTACTGAAGTAGTTTGGCTTGAATTGGGCTGGAACGATTTGATTAGGGTTGAATTGAGTTGGGCGTGGTTGAATTTGGTTGAATCAAGTTGGAATAAATTAAATTGGTTTTGGTTGAATATGGTTTAATTGGGTTGAGTTTAATTGAATTTTGGTTGAATTGAGTTAGGTGGGGTTGAATTTGGTTGGATTGAATTGGGTTGATTTGAAATGGGTTGGGTTGCATTGGTTCTGGTTAGATTGGGTTGGGTTGGGTTAAATATGGTTAGGATGAATTGGGTTGGGTTGCATTGGGAAGGATTGGGTTTATTTGAATTGGAATCAATTGGGTTGGGTTGAATTGGTTTTGGTTGAATTGGGTTGGGTTTGGTCAGATTGGGTTGGGTTAAATTTGATAAGGATGAATTGGGCTGGGTTGGGTTGATTTGAAATGGGATCAATTGGGTTTGGTTGAATTGGGTTAGGTTTGGTTAGATTGGGTTGGGTTAAATTTGGTTAGGATGAACTGGGTTGGGTTGCATTGGGAAGGATCGGGTTGATTTGAATTGAGATCAATTGGCTTGGGTTGTAATGGCTTGGGTTGAATTGGTTAGGATTGGGTTGAATTATTAGGATTGGGTTGAATTGGTTAGGATTGCATTGGGTTGGGTTTGGCTGAATTGGGTTGGGTTTGGTTGCATTGGATTGGGTTCAGTTAGATTGGCTTGGGTTCAGTTAGATTGGCTTGGGTTCAGTTAGATTTGGTTGGGTTCAGTTAGATTAGGTTGTTTGAATTTGGTTGGGATGAATTGGGTAAGATTGAATTGGGTTGGCTTGGTTCAGGAGACTAGACTAATGATGTAGTCTGTTTATTTAAAATGATTCATCACATGCTGCTTTGTTATCCATTGTCAGTGCCGTGGGGCTCTCTCAACACAAGCACTCAAATACATGCACTTAGAACCATTGAAACTGCGCGCTACAACGAGTAGTTCTGGTGGCTATGAGCGCATATGCTCATATATACACTCTCACAGCAATCAGAACTGGGTGCTACAGCGTGTAGTTCAGGTGGCTATGAGCGTGTATGCTTAGGTGCTCAAATGTAGCTCTCACAGCCAGGAACTGTGTGCTACAGCATGTAGTTTAGGTAGCTGTTAGGGCATATGCTTGGGTGCTCAAATGTAGCTCTCACAGACATCAGAACTGCGTGCTACAGCGCGTAGTTCAGGTGGCTATGAGCGCGTAATGTAGCTCTCACAGCCAGGAACTGTGTGCTACAGCATGTAGTTTAGGTAGCTGTTAGGGCATATGCTTGGGTGCTCAAATGTAGCTCTCACAGACATCAGAACTGCGTGCTACAGCGCGTAGTTCAGGTGGCTATGAGCGCGTATGCTTGGGTGCTCAAATGTAGCTCTCACAGCCGCCAGAACTGAGCGCTAAAAAGCGTAGTTCAGGTGGCTATGAGCGTGTATACTTGGGTGCTCAAATATAGCTCTCACAGCCGCCGGAACTGCGCGCTAAAAAGCGTAGTTCAGGTGGCTATGAGTGTGTATACTTGGTTGCTCAAATGTAGCTCTCACAGCCATCAGAACTGCATGCTACAGCATGTAGTTCAGGTGGCTGTGAGCGCGTATGCTTTGGTGCTCAAATGTAGCTCTCACAGCCCTCAGAAATACGTGCTACAATTGTAGCGTGTAGATCAACACGGCGCATCTGTCATATTGATCATAAATTGCAATTTATGAAGCATAATTGGCAACCGGCGTCCAGGGGCTCATAGTGGCATCCACCTCGGCATCTTTGGTGCATGAAATCGGCGTCCTTGACCTATGTCGTGCCATGCTTTACAGTCTGGCTGGGCCTGACTGCCCCAGGCCCAGGGCTTGGGTCAGGTGTCACTAGTGACCATGGTGCCTGCTGCCTGGTGGCATCCTAAATGCCTTCTAAATGACCATGTGTCCATGTCCTTATGTAACTGGGGAGAGCGATGGCCAAAAATTGGAGCACGCTCTTCCCGCTCCTATTGTAGTGGGAAGAGTGCGCTGCCGCTGCTGCCAGCTCACTCGTCTTGGAGCCAGGAGAGCAGGAACATCCTGCTTGCCCCAACCATCCATCCAGCGCACTTCTCTAGTGAGCAGTGCTGGAGTGCTTCAGCCCTAGTATGGAATATATCTACTTGGCGACATGGTGGCATTCCATAGTATAAATAAAAGAACACGGGCTTTTGGGAAATTGGAGCGCTCTGTCATAATTGGAGCGTCAAGGTCACTACACCTTCCCCCACGAATTCTACTCCACAACTGCGGGCGGGCTGCGTGCTGCAGCTGGTCGCGCTACCGTGCGGTACGCGGCTACGCCTGGTATGGTAAGTCAAAAGAATAGTGTCGCGCTCCAACCTTTCTTAAACGCCTACTGGTTATCCAAACCAAAAAATAAGCAATGGACTTCCTATGGACTTAATTCATAAGAAATGGATATGAACTGGATCAATTGCAGTAATAAAAAATAACAATTATAACTTATTACCATTGCTAGTATCACTCTGCTCATATGTACATGTTAAATCAAAAAGCAATGCGGATTGCGGAAGTTGAAAATTTTATGAAATGACATGTTTGCGAAGTGCAAACCGCGATTTTTTAATCAAACAAAAATTTATGACATTCGAGCCGCGAGATTCCATACCTACTGAAATTATATGATATTAGAGCTGCGATATCTCAGACAAAAATAGGACTTTTCCAGACTAGCTTCAGCCATCAAAGCCCATCCTGGTGGATCTGTATGACTATGATCTATCATTTCCTCAAATTCTACCATGGTCATTACTCTTGGCAAGTTGGCAATGCCAAGGGCTAGCTAGAGGCTGGAACCTGGAGGCTGGAAGGCATGTTAACCAGGCGTTCGCCGTTCAGGGCTTCAGGCCCAGAGAGAGCTCAAGAGGATGGAGCCTGGAGGCAATATGTATACTATGAATACATAGCCACCTGCACATATCATTGACAACATGGGAATGAACTTATCATCTTATGAAGGGATAGATTATTGTAGTGGAAGAACTGCAGGGTGCAGCTGGACCGTATGGTATTGGTATGTCTCAAAATCCATGTTCTTCAAATTCTACCATACTGGCAAAGCAGAGAGTTTTTTAGACTCTCCCTCAAGTTCATTTTTGATTTTGAGTCCTATAAGTAGACCAATAAAGTATCATGGATACCAGCATTATCATACATAAGAAATTTGTTTAAATCTTGAGTAAATGAGGAAATTAAAAATGAACTGATTCTAAAAAAGCTCTGGTTTGCCACTATGAATTATTCTACCATTATAGTAATAATAGTACCATACACCGGGCATACATGACTGTTAACACATTAGGTACATCAAGTCCAGTACTAGTTGGATCTATAGAAAATAATACATTTGGAGTCTTTGACAGCAAGCACAATTAATAACCCAGCCTTCATCATCATCATGATACAAGATGATGAAAGTTTTGAAACAATAATGTCTATAACTGAATACGACTCTAAACTGAGATCCTGAACTGAACCACTACCAAATTAAACATTTCACATAATTATTTTATTTATTTAGGCTAAAACACATTCTTATTTACTTTTATCTGGAATTGATTATCAAATTTCAACTGCTTAGTATATATAAAAAATTGAGCTGGGGTATGAACCGTGATCGGTGATCCATATTGTCAGCGAAGCCGTATTATTTTTTCATGAATCTTTCGCAAATATCGGCTTTGTATATATTGGAAATATAGGTCAAATACTCGAATAAAATATTATTGTACATTTAAAATATCTTTATGATAGCAATAACTTTACTACTTTAGTCAGACGAGAAGAAACAATTTGCTCACCAGCTGTTTGTTAGTGCTCATTCTGCAGATGTAAGAAATTAAAAAAAAAAACACTTTAAATTTTGCGAGATAATAAAGAATCTAACCCTTCATACTTCCCGCCAGATTTCGTATTTTTGGATCCTTCGAGAAAATATAAAGCAGAAAACGATCGAATTTTCTTTTGAAAGTGTTGTGATTTTCTAATTATTTATGAAGAGCCAAATTTATTATGCTAACTAATATTACAATGTGCCGACACAGAGTGCAGATACTGTAGAATCGTGTCATCTATATTGCATTCACTAAGCGAATGCACTTTCTAGAATTTATGCGTGAGGTAATCGGCACGTGTAAGCACCGTGGCTGGCACGAAGATTCGGAATTTTTGTATCAAATGCTAATCATTCCTTGTTAGATCGCATTTTTTGATCAACAGGTAAGAGAAATGATTCTTTAAATTACCATTCATAATTTTAAATCAATTTAAACGCAATAATTTTGCTCGACCCAGGTTCAAAATCAGAAACCGGAAATTACGGACCGGTAATCACTATAAAAATTTACTTTCCCAGCTGTAACTGGCCAGTGGCCTATTTCCACCAATTAAGACAATTAAGAGTGTATGCACCATATTTGGAGCAATATTTCCTCTGTATTTATTTAATGTTACAGAACTTCAGCAGAAGCTCAAGTTATCAATGCAAACTCAAACTGCAACTTATCTAGGTATAGTCGCAGGCTTTCAATAAAATTTAGCTAATATAGGAGAAACCATACATTTTTTCAACAAAATTTGAAGCACATCTTTCAACGTGTCAAAAATGGCTTTTTAATTTTAGCCATTATGTTGTCATTGAACATTACAAAATCTACCTAGTTCTGGTCATACCTAGTATTACGGACTCCCAGACTCCCTCAAGTTCATTTTTGAGTCCTATAAGTAAACAAGCAAAGTATCATGGATACCAGCATTATAATACATAAGAAATTGGTTTAAATCTTGAGTAAATAAGGAAATTAAAAATGAACTGATTCTAAAAAATCTCTGGTTTGTCACTACCTATGGTATTACCGTCAAACGGGGTAAAAAAAAGGACGAGCAGGGTAGATAGGGACGTGTGTCCCACATTTCCTAGAAATGTTGTAGCAGCTAAACTAATCAAAATATTGCAAAACTAAAAATAGTGGCGTAAACTTCAACATTTTTACTATCTATTTATTCTATTATGTATAAAGCTAGTCAAGAAATCAAACGTTTACTATCGCTGAAAAAAGTGTAAAAAGTGCAATTTTGGAAAAGCACCTCTGCTAAGGTCTGAAGCAAAAAAATTGTATTGAAAAATTTTACTTAGCCTAGCTACATAAAAGTTGCACTCAGGTCATGTTGGCTTGAAAACATAATTGACAAAATTTGCCTATCTTGTTCCAAAAGAATTGCAGCCATTTCTGCGCAGTGTGGTAAAAAGGGACATCCCCAGGGTAATTAGGGACCCCCTTAAAAATGCATTTACGGTAGAACCCCAGTTAGCAAGGGCTCTAGTCAGGCATGGAATATATCTACTTGGTGAGCCGCGACTGGATTTTCGGAGCCGTGAGTAAGCCCATTTGCGAACCGTGAAAACGTACTTCTCGCACGTGAGTCCCTTATTAGGTAATATATTCTCATGTCAATATAAGAAAACGTATCGAAATTCCAACCCTACCACCGCGTTACACCACCTTCCACTGCAATGAAAATTTATAAACTGAGCTCATTGGGACCTACCGTGCTTCCGAAATCGCGCGTGGTTTGAAATCCAATCCCGTGTTGCCAGGCATGGAATATATCTACTTGGTGAGCCGCGACTGGATTTTTGGAGCCGTGAGTTAGCCCATTTGCGAACCGTGAAAACGTACTTCTCGCACGTGAGTCCCTTATTATTGCAGCCGTTAAATTACGTTTGCCAAAAATGTCAAATTTTTTAATAATCTAAATTAACAGGAGCGCGATATTGTTCATGTTGCTCTGCGACCTGCGTTACCTGCAGCATACTAAGAATACCATTTATTTGGAAAAGTCGTTTGCCTATATGACATAATTAACTAAATTAATGTAACGAAAGTTATGTAAATGTAACAAAAGTTACGAACATTGAGATTTAAGTCAAGTTATGGCCAGCAAAGCACTATATTTAGGCATATAAGCGTAAAAATATGAATAATAATAGCAAGAAAACCCAGGGAGTGCATATAATCCCTTAGATGCTGTTAAAGAAAACTGCACCTTCTTGAGGTCAAACAGCAGAACGGGGATAACACTTGCAACATGCAACTATGATGTCGGGACTAAACTGTCAAAATGAGAAAACATTGTAGAACAGTCGTACGCCGGCAAAGGATTAAAACTTAAAAGCTTCAACAGAATGACCTCAAATTATTTATTTGCGGATAAATTTTTTCATTAATTCTAGCTCCGAGAAATCCGTAACATATAATGCCATGGAAGAATCATAGTCATCCTCGTTTATGGATTAAAAATTCTTACATGTTAAAGAAAATTACGTATGCCACGAACTTTACTTGAAATCGAGCTGTACTTGAACGCTTTACTTGAAATCATCAGCATTCAACAGAAATTCGTACTTGACTGGCTCGTTTTTGAGCCGGCGTAAAACCTTGCTCACTTCTGAGAACTGAGATTTGTTGTTGGTGTCCGTATGAATTGAGGGGGGCTTGGAAGAATTCCAAGAAGATAATTTCCTTCCAGTAGTAAAGTGGCAACCGTCTCCATGGTTGCAAGACACCTATACGGCATGATTGAACTATATAAGGTTGACCCATGAGAAGTTCCACCTTTCAGTTCAGCTTTCTTGTTACGTCACGTAGATCGAGAAACGTAAACAAACCTGTCATTCTAGTGACTGATTGGATGACTGGTTTGAACGCATTTCAGTGATTGGTTAATACCCGTGACGTCACTTGAGATCACTGGCGTCTCAGGCGAACAACGAACTACATCCGCAAAAATGGGCTTCTGATGGGTCAACCTTATACTAGTTCAACCATGCCTATATGGCGCAGGATAGCACCAGTCAATTACACAATTTACAATGTTACCTCCCTTCTGCTGGGTGTCCACAGCGGAGTAGAACGATTCAATCACGGCTTCACACCCACCCATGGACACAGCCACATCCAGAGAAGTACAGAGTTCCTGCCCAACCTTCTCGAACACCTGCAAAACACTTTTAGTTAGTGTCAGTGCGAATGATTTATAGAGCATTTATTTACTTAGTAAACAAAACTCCTCAGCATGTAACATGGCTGAGGAGTTACGTGTTACGGAGGAGGAGTTACGCTTAAATTAAACAGTGTTTCGCATTTTGATACTTTACAAATAACATTCTACATGCACATATATTGTTGATGTATTGGATTTGGCAGAAGTTAGCGACAACGATTTCCCACATTTGATACGTGCTTTGCGCATCAATCATCACCAGCGACTGAGTGTGCACTACGTACTGAAATAAATTGTGCAGCAAATCTTAAAGTTGTACTGTTGTCGAGTACCGTTGTGAATCAGTGTTTGAGTAGGGCGTATATTCAAAGCAAGATGTAATAAAGCGGCCAGTTTCGAATTTAGCTTCAAGCCAACTTGTGGCCAGAACAGAACTTGCTAATACTAGCATTAGAAAAATATTTTATGAAACTGATTTGCTTTTAGAGCATATGTTTTTTTAATTAGCCTGCGCTGATGGTTACAGTTCAGAGTAGTACCATGATTGGCATAGAGAGGTGCTGGTTCGCAGCTCTGTGCACCAGTTTCTGGTCAGAATTGGCAAGGAGGCCGGGCGCAGAGCAGAATTGTAGCAGTGAGTTGCGAGTTCGAGACCGCAAAATACTGTGAATGTTTTGCAATATTAAGAATCGGTGACAGGCCTACGGCCTACTAAACGCTGAAACCGCTATTATTATTATTATTAAAAAAACATGATTTCAAGATCATAAGACGCAAATTCAGGTTATTCCTTTAAGTCACCGAGGCTTGTTTAATCTAAAGCTTCAAATTCAGAGAAAATCTGTGACGATAAACAGAACGAAGCAGCAATTGTTTGCCTTTTCACATTGATAGTATCTTCTGTACTTTCATCAAATCTGAGGCTGATTGAATAAAAACAAATTAAAACTGAAAAGATCTTCTTCAGACTGCCTTTTCTTCACCTGAAATTACGTAATTATTGGTAGCTCAGAACAATTTACATATTCAGTCCTAATCAAAATGCTGTATACAAGAGCATAAAGATAAAACCGCAAAAAAAAAATTCTACAAAAGAAGCTCATAGCCCTTCGAGCAATTTTGTTGGTTTTTTACAGTATAATGGGATTTCTCGTAAGAGGTTGAGCTGCATCCAAGCATTAAAACATAAATTGTAGGCCTATAATGTCGCTGAAATCGGTGGGTATACAAGATTATCGTATCACCAAATCAGTTCACGATCACATTTTTGCAAACAAAAGAATTGTTGTTGAGTAATCTGATTAAAAAATAGTGAAAATATTCTAGTTTTTAACAATTTAAACTTATTTCAATGAAATGTGACACAAAAAGTCAAGACTCAAGTATTACGTACGTGGGGGAGTGAATATACAAAGTTGAAAAAAGTATGAAAAGCTGTCTCGCCTCCAAGCTTGAAATTATTGCCTTGGTTGAGCTTGGGCCGCCCATCAGGCACAGATCGACTACCCGTCAAACACTGCAACACTCGCCGCGGATTGATGCATTCATTGAGAAGGTGAGCTAGAGGACTTGAGCAATCCTGATACCGTACCTGGATACAAATTTGAAAAAAGAATAATCTTCTAAAAAAACTACTCGCACCAATCCATATAATTAGGTATTAAAAGATTGCATCTTATGCAAATATAGAGAAAAGGGCCAATATTTGTAAAATATTATTGAGCTCCTCTAATGTATTAAATAATGTCTATTGTATATTTGTGTCAAAATGCCACCAAGGTACATTATTCTTCAAGTAAATTGCAACACGATTGATAGATGGAGACAATTCAAGCTGCGTTGATGAGATAACCTTGTTATGTAAAGGATTAAGGGAGCCTCAATGATGGTAGAAATAGAACTCACCGTTTTCGTAGAGCTAATTTTAAATTTTTACCAAGGTCTGCCACGCCATCCAACTTGCCGCGGCCGGGACTAGGCCGTGTTAGCCAGCTGTCCAGAAGCTCAAGAAAAACTTTCGTTTGCCAAGTTCTTCTGCATGCTTTCGGGTGTGCAAACTGGTGCGAGGAGAACAAGGCGAACTGGCGCGATGAGACCGAGGCAAACTGGCGCGATGAGACCGAGGCGAACTGGCGCGATGAGACCGAGGAGTACTGGCGCGATGAGACCAAGGCGAACTGGCGTGAGGAGACAGGAGAATGGTTGCGAGGAGACTG